CGTTCGTCACTCGAATGGCTAACTAGATAACATTATAATGCAACTGGATAACAGTCTTATAAGACTGTTATCCAGTTTATTTATAAACTATTTTTTTCTATAAATTATATAAATATATTTCTTAAGATGTGACAACTTAGTGTAGTTGATAAGTTGTTGCACTTTCAAGCAGCAGGATAAAAGTTCAAATCCTACTAGTAATGAAATATGAATTTACAAAATGTGTTATTATAAAACTATATGACATATAGATTGAGTAAGCATCTGTAACTTTGGTTATACCAGCTTTTTGTACTAGAAGGTTGTAAAACATTAATATAATGCATGAGTTATATAAAATCTAAATAAAGTAGTCAAATAATAGAGAAGTCTTAAGCAAAGGCAAATCATGTGATCAATCGCCAATCAAATTATAGAATTTTGATAATCATCAGTGACGCAAACCAAAAAATAAAAACCAAAAACCTAAAAAATACAAAAAATAGCAGTCTAAACCTACTTCGAATAGGTTAATTAAAAATGTTAGAAAGGCTTTTTGCTTATATCTAACTATCTAAAACCTATTTTAACTCTAATATAGGATGATTTTAACCCTAAAGTTAATCAAAGAAATATGAGTATCTCTGCTTTAAACGTTCTCAAATAAATCCAAAAAATTAGAAAATACAGAAGCCTGCTTGGGAAGTACCGAGTAGAGAGGTAGTATAAATCTTTGATAGTACTATGTAAAGGACTATCATCTGGAGAACTAAACACTAGCAGTAAACTGAATAAGAACCAAGTGTTTAGCAAGCACTACACCAACCAGGCCACTGGACTAGCTAAAGGAAAAAGGATTCATTCAGAATACCAGAGGATATTCACTAGTCCCTCTCAGACCATCTGAATTAAAAGTTTGAAACATCATTAGTTACCATTGAAATACTGCTGATAGTTTGTAAAATAGGTGCTAGAGTTTTGGTGAACTTTGCAAAGGCACAGAGTAGGTAATGGTAACAGAGGTAAAAAGCTGCAAGTATTTGGCTGTGGCTTAGGTATAAGTTACCGAAAATCTAAATGATATATATATAGAATATAGACTGCTCTAATAGGTTTATTACAAGAATAAAGTAGTTTTAAGGGGCCTTAATAGCAGTTCCTCTTTGAGAAAAATATCTGATAGCACTAAGTTGATCAGAAGGTTTAATTAGATAACTCAAATAATAGTAGATTATAGGTATAGCATCTAAGTGTAGAACTTAATAATAGGTAGATACTTAATTAAGTGCTCAAAAGGTGCAGATATAGCTAAAATGTACTTTGGTTAATGTAACAAATTTAGAAGTAGCCTATATAGTTGCTGTGACATTTGATCCAAAGTTCAATAAAATATATTAGACCCCAAAGTAGTCACCTTAATATTAAAAAAAAATAAAAATAAAAAAATAAATATATTTCTTAACTACTTAAATACTTAATTAAGTAAAATAATAAATGTTCTATAAAATAGATAAGCAAACTCTGCAAACTCTACAACTTTGCTATTAAAAAATTAATGATTACTAATTATTAGTAAAGCTTATTTCTTATATTGCCTATTAATTCTATAGAACATCTAAAATAACTTATTAACCAAGAGTTTAATAACATTATATTACAATATATTATAATAAACTTTCAATATAATAAATATCAGTAATATTAATTTTAATTTTTTAATAGTAAAAATTTTAATAATATTATCAATTTTTGCTTTTAATAAAGTTTTAATAGGCTTTTAATATTTTCAGTTATAAATACTTTTGATTTGTAGAATTAGAAATTTTAATTAAATATAATAAATAGATGTGGTAATTTAGTGATGTTGGTAAGTTGTCATATTCCTAAATAGCAGAACAAGAATTCAAATTCTACTGGTAATAAAATTTAAATTTTATAAAATGTATTAAAGCAGACTATATATAATTTGACAGATTAGCATTTGTAACTTTGATTATATCAGCTTGTACTAAAAGGCTATGAAATATTAATATGATATATAAATTATATAAAATTTGAGTAAAGCAGCTGAATAAATCTAAAGGTTTGGAGTATACAAAAGTCTGCTTAGCAAGTTTCAAATAAAAAAGTAGCACAGATTTCAATAATATTATATAAAGGATCATTATACAGAGAACTAAAAAACAGAACTAAACTGAAATATTTAGCAAAAGCATTTTACTAACTAGGCTGCCAGGTAATCAAATAAAGAGATTGCCTTTTCAAGCTATCTGAATTAGAAGTTTTTAAAACTGAAGATATAATAAATAGTCTGTAAAGTAGATGCTAGAGTTTGAGTGAACTTTACAAAAGCAAAAGTAGATAACTGTAGTGACTTTAGTTCACAAGTACTTGTTGATAAATTAGCTCTAAGAATATAGGAAAAGTATTCAAAACTTCTTGACTAAAAAATGTAACAAGATATATCAGTGATACAAGTAGATTGTATTACAGAAGGTTTAAATAAATAATTCTCTAGTCTGATTATAGATATAGCAACTAGTATAGTTTCTATAGTATAATACTAATATATAGACTACTTAATTGATGATTCTTCAGTAAACTAAAAAATAATTATAATATAATATAATGCAGTTCTATATATAAATTACTATAGATTATACATGCCAACAAAATTATTTTAGGTTTGGGATACGAAATTAAAATTTGAAAACAAAATTGTTTTTAATCTATTTTACTTAAAAGACAAAATTTTTTGACACTTTTTTTGAAGAAACGAAATTATAACAAATATAACTATCTAAATTAGATTTGCTATTGCATATAAAAATTCTAAATTGCTCTAATAGAGACAAAATAGAGGTTTTTTGAAAACCTATTTCAGTGGCATATATACTATAAATGCAAAAAAAAATTTTTAGTAATTATTCAAGGAAAACTTTTGTAAATTGAAAATGTGTATAAGGTTGGTAGCATAGCTCTTCTATACTATGAATCAAATTTCAAAATTAGGTATAATATAACACGATTAGGAAGATTCAAAACAAACGTTCGTTTTGCCAAAAATCGCCCATATCTCTAAAATTAGCATAAGAAACTACTTTTTGCGCTCTAATAAAAAGATTTTGTTGGACAATTTTATTATATAAACCATTCTTCTCTAGATCCTAACCCTGACCCTAACCCTAACATTAATGAATTTTAAAAATTTTGTCTGCGTCGCCAAACCTTGTACACATTTTTGATATGCAAAACTTTTTTGTACTAAATTAATTACCTTTAAGTTTTTAAGTAAAGTTATAGAGCTTATTAAGACGAATCTAGAGGACGGAATAGGCCAGATTGGGCTGGGCTTGCATAAACCCAAAACTAAACTAGTGAATATTTATAGGCCTGGGCCTGGCCCGCTAAGAAAAAAAGCCTATAAGTGTGGGTCAGATTAAGTTTTGATTTTAAACTAAGCCCGGCCTATAATTAACTACTCAGTATATCTCATAAAAATTTCATGTTATACTTTTTTTTATTAGTAACATGAAATTTTTATTTATATGTGTGATTTATAAATTTCAAGCATCCCAGAGTTTATATAATACTTATATTATTAATACTAGAGATGCAGAAGAATCATTATAATTATTGCTGTAACTAGTTACAATATAAGCTTTAACTAGTTACGGTTTAAGCCATAACATCATTAGGACAATTCGCCTGCACCTTAATCGACATTTAGTAAAACCTAATCTGTTCAATTAGTGCTTAGTAATTTTATTAGTATTAGTTAGTGTTTCGATCTGTAATCCGACAATTCGGATTTATCCGACAATTCGGATTAGAATTCGGATATCCTAATTTGTTTATTTCAACAGATAAATCCTTAATAAAAATCGGATTAAGGATAAGGATTACATAGATTCTAATCCTAGATATATATGAGTAGCGTAAAGCCATTAAATTAGCAATACATTAAATTAGCGAGATACTTGTTATAAACACGAACAACTTAAGTGAGAATGTTTAAAATTTTCAGGCAAGTCGCTTCATTCAACCCTGCATTCTTGATTTCAAGTTGGCAACTTGCTTAAGAATCCTAAATCCGAATTAATTCTGCACAATTCAAAAATTAATTGTCTTTTAAAATAAAGATGGCGCTGATTTTGATCAAAGTTTACTGATTAAATTTATCTTTTAATGGTTTTATATTAGCTCACCATCAGTCACAAATTGCTTATACGCTTGTATTTAATGATTTATTTATATGTTAATAAATAGCTCATTCTCGATTTTAAAAATCAGATTATGTGAATTAAAAGCGGCAAAATTTTTTTTTCAAAAAAAAAAAAAAAAAAAAAGACCAGATACAGTATTACACCAAGCTGGTTCATGTTATTTTTTTTTTTTTTTTTATTTGCTCTTAAAAAGTACAAATCGAGTTACAGACTCTGAATGAGGATTACTATAAACTCTAATAGGGTTTATAGTCTCAACGAAAATAAATAATTTTCGAATGAAGAAAAACCTAATTATATAATCGAAAGATTTTAGGTTGATAAAGGACTGTTTTAAAGTTCCAGAAAGATTGCATATATGCTCAAAATATGAATGTATTCATGCCATTAGTGCGATGCGTTAGAAAAATTCACTAATGAAGTAAAAATGTTGCTATGAAAATCATTAAAATTACCACTGACTTTGTGATTCATCAATGTCATAATTCTTGAGATCGGTATTCGTCAGTTTTTAAAACTCAATTAATAAAAATATATATTTCAATTGATCCAAGTTTCCCTGATTGTAACTTAAAGAGTGGTATAATTTTAAATATCATTCTAAAAAAGGACTAATGAGTAGTTGCACCAAGGTCAGATATACAGTAGAATTAGTCTAATTTCTGGTTTCTTAGAGTGTGTTAAAGAAAACGTGAGAATATGTATATATGCAAGATAAGTTTACTGATATTGGCAATATAATAACTTATTGTAAAATACTGTTGAAAGAATTAATAATCTAGATTTATAAAAGATGATAAAACTTACAAATCAAACGTACTGAATTTTGCTATATGCTAGTCTCTTCGAATATCTGATATAAGTCGATACAAACCTTAGATAAAATAGAAGAAAATTCTGAATATTACCATATGATAGATGATTCTGAATATTATTATAATAATGATTTTATTATAGAAACTGCGAAAAATTCAGTAGCCTCATCTGAAATTTCTTGTTCGTCAAAAACTGCTACGTCTAGTATCCAGCCTATGCCTCTTTCTACGTCATCTTTAAAAGATAAAAAAAAAGGTGTTAATATTAATAGTAATAAAACTAAAGATTTTTAAGATAAATAATAAATTTACTAGTGCATTTTTGCTTTAGCCAAAAAATCTAAAAAAAGGTATAACCGTAAAGAGCCATCATTCACTTACGAATATTTTGAAATAACAGTCAATCAAAAAGGTGAAGAAGTACAAGTCTGCAAGGTCATAAATGAAGATGGTGAAAAATGTGGCACAGAATATAAAAATGTAGGAAGTTCAACAGGAAATCTTATTACGCACCTTAGAGACATCCACGAAATTGTTTCACAAGATGATAAAGAAAATGTAAAAAAGGTATTATAAATAAATCTTGATATGAGAAAATGGTTAGTTCTATAATAAAAATTTTAACCCTTTTCTTATAAAGGGTCTATTAATAATTTTCTTACATCAAGTAGATTTTTATACACATATATGCCAATTTTAAAAATCGTTATAAAATGTATCCAACCTTGAATTACTTTTGATTGATCAATCCATTTTGGATGATTTTACACATTTGTCTCAATGAGACGAACACTTTTGTAGTAAAATCATCTAAAATGAATCTGTGAATCAAAAGTTATTCAAGGTCGGATGCATTTTTATAGTGATTTCTAAAATTGGCAGATATGTAATCTACTGTATTGAAGTTTTTTTTATTGAGATTATTGCATTTACAAGTTAGTGTAAATGCTATTAATTTTTAGCCACGAAATTCCAAAATTACCGATTTTGTACGAAAAGTTCGTCCCCATCCTCCACATATTCAAAAACGACGTGAAGAAGCACTTCTAAAGTGGATGTTACTTTCCACCCAGCCTCTCAATAGTCACAGATGAAGCCTATAGGGAAAAAATGGCAGAATTTGACTCTTTTTTTATTATCCCAGGAGAAAAAAAAATTAGAACTATGATTTTCAAAAGCTATAAGCATAATCGTGAAAATTTATTAAATCTCCTTACTCAAACTGCCAAAAATGTTTCTCTTACAATAGATTTCTGGTCAAGTAAAGCTAGGTACGGGTATCTCAGAGTAACTGCAACTTGGATTATGCCAAGTTTCAAAATTAAAGATGTAATGTTGGAAAATAAATATGTTCCTTCACCACAAAGTAGTCAAGTCATTGCTGATGAGCTTCATAAATGTATTAAATCTTGGAATTTTGAGCATCGTATAACATCAATCACTACTGATAATGGTAAAAATATGGTCTCAGCTTTCCCCTTATTAAACCAAAAGGATGGGTGTAGAGGAATTAAACGTCTCCTGTGTACGGCTCATACTCTTCAATTGGTGATTGGAAAAGGACTTGCACTAGCGGAAGTTCTAGTTGCACATGCAAGGAGGTTAATTCAATTTTTTCAATACTAAAAACAAATAGAATGGCTAGAAGAAATGCAAATAAAGCTTGGTTATACCGATGCTGTTCGTTGTATTCAAGATATTACCACGCATTGGAACTCGATGTACTATGCTTAGGATCGTCTTTTTTTTTTAAAGGATGCTATTATTTAACTTCAAACAGACCTATATACATCAGTGGATCAGGATAATAAAAATGATGGTAATAAATTAAGAAAGATTCTTCTTTCAGATGACGAGTGGGAACTAATGGACCAGCTTATTGATTTGTTGATGCCGTTCGAAGAAGCAACACGGGAGTTCTTAGGAAATACCTATGTAACATTAAGTAAACTCATTCCAACTATTAATGAAATGATTTTTGATTTAGCAAATGAAGCATCATCAAGTAATAATTTGTTTTTGAATGAGGATACGGTATTTGGAGAAGAAGTCCAACCTATTGACTTTGATGAAGAAGAAGTTATTAGCAATGTTACTAAAAAAAAATTTCAATTAAAAACCCGCTAAATACAACTGGCATTTTAGAAAAAGTTGAGCAAACCATCTATAATGCATTAATACATTATTGGAATGATCCGAATGATCTTGGTTTGATGGCAGCCCTATTAGACCCTCGTTATAAAAGTTTGGATTTTCT